TATACTGGAGTCTAAAACTGTGATTTTCTCTGACATGAAATCTTTCAGTTTCTATTAAACTTTGTGGACTGTATCCTACTATCTGGCTACTTAAGTACATGTGTGTATTTATACTTTATGGTAATCATGTCCACAGCTACTATTACACTCACTGAGTTGGGGAGATCTATATAACCCCTGTAGTCAGCTGGCCTCTATGTGTAAACACTTGCTGGCTTGTACGGCTGCTCACTTCTCACAAAGCCTTGTCAACTTATCAAGGATTATTGGAAAAACATTTTTATCCAATATCCTTGATAACTGAGCTCTATTTTAAATCTACCCTGGTGAATTATGTTTCTGTTAGCTTTAAAGCTTGTACACATATTTAAATAAACACCTGGTTTATTTATATAAGGAGATTTTTTAGATGTTTAAGACATGTAAAGCTTGACATGGCGCGGATGCTGTGTATAGTTGAGGCTGTATAAATGCCAGTGTATATATGTGTTCAGTTCATTGGGTATGTGTGTGTGTAATGTAATAACATCTGTGCTAGCCCTGTGACACCTAGTACATTACATGTACAACAACCATTCAGGAAATCTATTACTGCTTTGACATATTTACAATATCTGTCCCGGTGTTAACAAACAATTCTGTATCTACTATTTGTCTTCCTTGTTAAATTGATTAAGGAATATGAAAAGAAATTTCTTTTGGCAAAGATTTTAAATTAAATGATTTTTTTTTTATATTGATTGGTATTTCAAATAAAATGGAAGTTTATTTGACTGTTAAATTAAATTTGAGTAAATATTTCTTCTTTAAAGAAAATCATATTTCTACCTATTTAAAATGTACAATATAAAAAGATTTTTTTTTCCATTAAGAATAAAAGTTATTAAAAGTTCTGTTAAAGAAATTATTTGCTGCTGGTCTATCTTTAAGAACAAAAACTACATGTAGGTTCTCCCGTGGGACGCCCCATTTCTGGAAAAAGGCCAAAGGGTGCCAGCTTGTCAGAGCACACATTTGTCAATAAGCCTAAAACCCAACCCAGCATATCCTGCGAATTGAATAAAAATCTAATTACCAACTGTTTATACTATTAACATTTCTATCCCCTTCTAATCTGAATTTATAAACACTTTCAAATGAATTCAATTAGACAAAGTTTAAGTGAGATTCCTTTGTGTTGAATAACATGCAATTAATAAATTTCATTTTAAAATGTCAAAAACAAGCTTTACAGAGTACTCTAAAATTACAATTTGTTTTTCAAATATTTTTTTCCCCTTAAATATCTGATATATTTTATACAGATTTCCTTTCAATCATGATGAAATAAATGTTTATCCCAAAAAAGTCACGATAGTACTGTAACACTTCATGGCGAGCATGCTAATAAACACAGCTAGTGAGAGCAATGGTTTAGGTATAGAAATTGTTTATCTTGAGGACAATTATATATACCTCTGGGATAATTACAAAATGTCAGTGAAAATCACTCAACCATGACATTGTATGAGAAAATTAGTTTGTAGCAATTATCAGAGTGAAATACTTGATGTACAGGTAAAATATACACAAACACATCGCACGGCAGGTATCAGTTCTCTGTCCACTCAATTAACATGAATTCAATTTTATGATCGGATGCTTTGGTAAACTTTTGATATATTACATACATTTCAACATTTGTAACACAATTAATTTGAAAAGATATATAAATATTTCTGTTTGTTCTATTACATTATTGATTTTTTATAGCATATTGCACGCAATGAGAAAATTACTAAAAAGAATATAGCCTGGTTATAAAACTAGTGTAGTGTGTGTGTGATACAAATAATGTAAAAAGATATTGAAAATGAGGTAAAAAGGGGGTATAGTTTCAGTTCCTGTTCTGTACTGGGCTATTATTCCGGTAAACATTCCTTTTGAAAACCTGATCTGGGCATGACTGCTTGTCTATTGAAGTGCTGACTGCCCCTTCTCCAATTAAAGACGATCTTTAAAATACCACATAGAGCGACCAATACAGGAAACTGTTTCTATTGTCTGTTTGATCATAATCTTTATGAATGCTTTTACGCTTCGTAAATCATAACAATTGATCTAAACATTTAACATTTAGAACAATATCTTGGTTTAACAGATACTGAAATACTCTCAACATTATGTATGTTTTTTTATTATAACCACATGCATTGACCCTTATACAATGAGAAATCAGCAAATCCTATATACTTATATATAGCCACTAATCAATAATTTATTAAGACATTTGATACAGTGTTAATTGTTGTGAAATCAAAATTTCATAATTCAGTGCTCACCTTGCAACTGGCACTACACTGAATGTAAAGAAATTTTGTATACAAATATGTTTTGATAATGTAGAAATTGTCATATTTCCAATAGTGCTCCAATTGAATTGTCATGTTCTGTTTATTATTCTAAACAAGTTCATGTACACATGTCAACGCCATTCTGTTAAGTTACAATATACCAAGCGAGGACAACCATATTACTATTTAACAGTTAAAAAGACATTCAACTTATCAAAAACAATTCTCACCAATTTCTCCCATTATACTAAACAATATTTCATTTTAATATCATTTATTGATTATTAAGCTCTCTGTGTCTTGATTATACATTTTCGATAAAATAATGACAATTTGCCAAAAAACCTTAAGATACTGACACTTACACCAAGGCTATTCATAAAAAAATTCTCATATCGCTATATCCTGTCTAAAAATAGACACACCTAAGCCATAAGGCATATGGTAGCATTTCAGTGATATCAGGTTTCTAGGCTTGCCCTATTTTTCAGCTACAAACACTGACAAAAATTTAACTGGCATGTAATAGCATGTTAGATTATGAACTTACTGCAAATCAGATTATAAAACCACCTTGACGATAATTATTTCCTAGTCAAAGTTTTCCCATACACTGATAAATTGCTCAATATTTCATGAATGTTTTGAGCATTTTTTATTCGTCCAGTCAAAAGATTTTTTTAATTTTTTTTTTTATTCTAGATCAATATCGATTTAGCCTTAAAAATGCTTTTATAATATAATGATTCAACAATGTAGAAAAAGCCATCTGATCACCCAATAAATTTGTGTATAAGGCGCCTATATTATAATACGACACTCTACTTTCCAGGAGAGTAGCTGTAAGTGTGTTTAAATATTTATACAGATCCATAAGTGATTGTGATTTACAACACGCTTGTTTGTGCACATGTGTATATATATATATTATGCACATATTAGCGACTTTTAAAAATTAGAACATATTGCCACTCAGAGCTAAGTTACTGTCTAAAATTCTCAAGCTGTCTCAAGTAGCCCGCAAGAATCAATGAAATGATGTAAATTCAATATGGCTTCATGAATTATCTGGAGCATTGGGTGAAATAAACCAGATCTGCAATATGACACTGAAGCCTAATTATCACCAACAATCATTCACTTTGTCCAACAATCTGTATGAATTTATAACAGGATGAGGGTTTTTAAGCATTTCCCATATATTTACTTCAATGATAACCCTTTATTCGAAGCCATACAGGAAAAACACATTCTAGAGTGAAAATGATGTTAGTCACTAAAACTGTGTCTGAATGATTATGTATGCTGAACTTAATCCTGAATAAACAGCTTTATCAGGGATAATAAGCAGGGCTCTCTCAGGCATATAGCCTTTCAGCCAGATAACCACACACGTATGTGTGTGTGACTTGCCTCATGTTTCTCAAAATTTATAATGTACATGTACAGAATACATTTTCTTTAAAATAACTTTGTGAGGATATTATCTGTCTATAGCTACAAAGGGTAAAAAAATCAATAGTTTCAAATATTGCATACATAATTTGAATATTAAAAGGATCAAGTTTCATTATAAAAATTGTACGAATGTGATATATATACGTCACTTTAAATTCAATCTTTTTAATAGATCTACAATTTAGCAGAAAAAAAGTTCATCAGATTTTTTTGAACCAAAATTCAATTTGTATTAAATATTTAAGTAAATTCATTTAATTTTAAATCCCCAAGAAAGGCCCCCGTTGAAGACCTGTTCTTGAGTCAACATATTACAGCTTTGCAGGGTTGCTGTGTTGACCTAGAAGATCTCATCACAAATCTCCCCGACTATAATATTTATTCAATGTTCTAAAAGAATAAACATAAAATAAAATTGACAATTCTAATGAAAAACTGAAATATAACATTCAGATTAACATCAAAATCATTAAGTTGTGTTATTTGGTTATGTAACGGCATTTAAAAGTTCTATTGGAATAAATTCTTCGACTCGCTCGACAAGAAGATAATTACACATTTACGGTGTACGTGTGTAAATACTATAGACAGTCACCACACATACTTTCACACCCTCCACTGAGGGGCCCTGTGAATGGGTTGTCCGCTAATAACATGAATAACAAGGGCATAAGGTTTTTACATCTGTTCATCACAGAAAAATGCCTTCAAGGCGATATGTGTCATTATTGATTCTCCTGTGGGGGGCCCCACACGCATAAGAGAGATAATCTACAAGTGTTAAAAATGTATTTGATGTTTCCTACCACAGTACAAAGACCCTGTAAATGAAATCCTTAAGCTAAATATATCACATCCATTTCCTCTAACCCAACAGAAAACAAACTTAAAATTTAAATAATTTACAAAAAATTCTAATTATAGAACAATTTGTGTAAATCAATATTAATATGCCCAATAACATGTGTATAATATTGTCTGTAATATATGCATGCATATAGTCAATATAACTGAAACAGAAATGAACAAAACATGAACAATTTTTATGGAAATGACACTCAATAAGCTTGCCACAATGTAAGCCTGTCAAGTTCTATGTGAAAGCACTCAAGTGGAAAGATATATTCATTCACACATAACTCCATTCAAAATATTTTTTCAATCTGAGCAAGGAAATAATGTAAGGTTTAAAGAACAAAAATAATATACCTCTCCGTGGAAATTTTCTCTTCCTGCTGGTGTGTGTTCTGGTAGATAATACAGTCGGACGCTGGCAAGAAACTGGTGTTCTTGACTATTTTCCCACAACAACTGAAGTTCCCCAATACAAATGGGGCCCTCTTTCAATATCTTCAGAAAGAAAAATTCCCCAAGTGTTAAAATTCTGAATTTGTTGTCTCTAAAATATTTGAACGCTTTGTAAAATGTGTATGGTCCATGTTGTCCACAGGACGCCCCGACAAACTGAAAAGAAAAGCAATTAGAATGAAAATCACATATATCGGTATGTGTGTAAATCGCTGATAAATTTTCCCCTTCCCTTCTCATAGTAGGTCACTTGTTCAATAAATAACATCCTAGTTTCTACACGTATTTCAGGCATTATTTCAACGCTATTGAATAAAAATTCATAGAAAATATATTCATAAATAAAACTGTATATTTACCTGGACCTTTTGGGACTCCATAATCCTATAAAAGATCGGTTTTCATCGCGTTGATCTAGGCATGCAGAACACCAACAATACTTTATATTTAGGACCTAATTACGTGACGTCACGAGTGTTGAGTGTGTATCCTCATTATCATAATTTATTCCAAATATTAAGCACGTCACATGAAATCAAATGAATTTTGTTTCTAGTATCTTAAATACATAAACAAATTTTGCAATATTGTTTCAGAATGAATTTGATGAATATTTCAGGCGCGGTTTGTAACAGATTTAGCTATCCCATGATGCCAGAATTCACGAGCCATGGCGGCCTTGGGTTGTTGACGGAAGTCAGTGATACGGACGGAAGAAGAACGGTAGTCACATGTGTCCACGAGAAAGATATGGGTAAGTTTTTTTAATTACAATGTCAGCTATATCACAAGGACCATATTAGAAGATCAGGTCATCAGTATTCGGCAGATATAGCGAGTGTTTTGTCGGTAAGTTTACTGGACGACAGTAGGGATGGAATCGATAGCTCAATGACATGGTCTAGTTTCACTTTGTCACGGTTATATAGTTGCATACAAAACGTTGTATCCACCGGTTCCCTTAATTATGATGTGTCAGTATGCTTTTAATTAATATTCAGTGTCATATACTCACCAACAATAAGAACCAGTTATAAATATTTCTTGTGTTTTTTTTCTATTGTACTGAAAACAAAATATTGTAACAGGAAAGGGAAAATGCATGGTCAGACCAGGGTTTGAACACGGACCCTACAAACTCTTAGACAGACGCTCTACCAATTGAACTACCTGGTCACAGACGATTGACCGAGTCCAGTTTTACTACATTCCTCCATCCTTTTTCTAAGTCTTCGTCGCCAAAGATACAACTTTAAATTTACAACCCTGGTTCAAGTATCCCTTGCCAAGCACCATACATCAAATGCTTGAAAGAAGGGTTGGTCACAGGCACCACTGTAACAGGAGAGGACAAGTGCATGGCCAGACAGGGGGTTCGGACCCGGGACTCTCCAAACTCTAGATGGATGCTCTTCCAATTGAGCTACCAGGTCGCTGACAATTGACCCCGTGAGTCCAGTTCTGCTACATTCCTCCTTCCTTTTTCTAAGTCTTCGTCCCAAAAGACACAACTTTAGATTTACAACCCTGGTGTCAGTATCCCTTGCTCTACCAATTGAGCTACCAGGTCGCCGACGATCGACCCAGTCCAGTTCCGCTGCAATATATTATCAGTTTATGCAGCAACTAACAGCCCGAGGTAGCAGTATATTATTTAATAAAAATTGGGTCTAATTATTACAGATTTATATCTTTTTGCTTACTATAAATTCTACTTTGTCTGGGGCTTACCTCCGATAGTCTTACGAAGTTTTGTAGGCAAGTACCATGGATGACAGTGCAAGGATTGCGCTGTAAGTGCATGACCTGTTTAGCGTGGGCTGCAGGCCGGAGCCAGGGGTTACGTGTACAAGAGGGGGGCATGGATGACAATCTTTCATATTTGTTTCTGGCTGTTCATAATAGATGCTTAGAATTGACCACCGGATATACATTAGAAGCGTTTGTGTGACTGTTCATATATTGTAGACCGTAAACAGGGCTAGCCGTAAACAGTGTTGTAAAATATCAGCAGTGACAATTTTAATAACATGAACACGAGGAAAATTAAATAAATCACTCAGTCGTAGAACTAACAGAAAATAACAACAAAATGGAACCAAGACAGATATTCATGTAGTAGTATTTAGTTCCTAGTGGAGAAATTTGTAACTGAAATAGGGGAAAATAATGCCAAAATTGGAGAGGGGAATCGGCCCATATTTGGCCATAAAAAAAGGCCTGTATATATCCATGCAATGTCACACACAAAGTTTTGGCAGCACTATATACAGAGTTATGGCCCTTTGTACATTTGTTCTGTCCCCAGGCGGAGACATACCAAAGTCCTTAAAAATGGTAGTGCTTATTCCCTGCTTGACGTTCAGGATTTAGGTGAATGGCAACAAATGGTTCACCCGTTGTCAGTATAATGTGATGGGTGGAAAGCTGTGCTGGGTGCCTTCGGCATTGTATTAAAGTGAGATAGCACTATAAAGTAGTGCTATCACAAGGAGGCAGGCACACCAACATACCCTGTCTCCTGCATACACACACGCAAGCATGCATACACTACACACATGGAGGCACCACCTTAAATGACCTTAGCTGTTAATAGGATGTTAAACAAAAGTAAACCAGTAAACCAGTTTGATATCAAAGTTTGTCAGGAGGCACCTTATATTGAAAATAAGGATTACCCACAATGCTTTGTCCTGTGTAATAATGAAATAATCGAAAGAAATTGCAGTGTGAGGTGATGTATTGCTTTGGTTTGAATGACAGCAACTGAAGCAATGTGCATTGAATCTTTTAACAGTGTCTTCAAATTACTTAAAATTCATGCATCAAAGTTTTAAGTCATTGTGAAGTTGATGGATAGGTAACCAGTGTCAAACCTTTCCCTTTTGGGTCATATCTTGGATTAACTTTTGATAAAAGTAAATATTCTAAAACAACTTCAACAAAACCAAATAAGCTTTTTTCTTCTGATTGGCTAAACCTCCATTCATTTGGAAAAACTCCATTTTAAATTGATAGCATCAGCAACAAAGCTACCTTGTAACAAGGATGTCACTCAACGCTGAGTTTATCCTGATGTGACTTGGTTCCCTGCTCCTTATCATTATGTTAGAGATTTCTATCTGTTATCAGCTAAGTTAACAACGACAACCAGACCAAAATTCTAATGCTGGACCTCGGAACTCTTTATCTTGATGAACAGTGACTAACTCAGTCCAGTTCTTCTTTCCTACAAAATGTCTTTGACCCTGATGGCACAAAAGACCTCGGAACTCTTTATGAACGTTGTAGCAGACAGAGCACCCCTGGTAAACAGCGACTAACTCAGTCAAGTTCTTCTCTCCTACAAAATGTCTTTGATCCTGATGGCACAAAAGACCTCAGAACTCTTTATGAACATTGTAGCAGACAGACCTTCCCTGGTAAACAGCGACTAACTCAGTCCAGTTCTTCTCTCCTACAAAAAGTCTTTGACCCTGATGGCACAAAAGACCTTGTACAACCTCCCATGGGTGTATTTAGGCACAATTTTGTAACCAAGGCTCATATTCATGAAACATTTCTCATGCTCAAACTCAGATTCTGTGCTCAAGCTTACTTACTTGTTTCGGTGTTAAATAAATTTACAATTAATATTTGGTCTATGATTTGGTAGAATTCTGGAGAGATTTCAAGCTGAATACTGTTTCAAATGTTTCACATAACATTTTTATCGTTTCAGACAATTTAAGCGAGGTTCAAGAAACTTGGGTTGAGCACAGAACCCATGCTTGAGCATGAGAACGGTCTCATGAATACAGGCCCAGATGATACAAAGTAGCAGCACCTGTTAGTATACTTTTCAGTGCGAATCTGACCAAATTCTCTGTTTTACCTTGTTCATGCATGTTTTGTGGCTAGTTTAATGAGACCAGCAAAGGCATGTTCTATTTTTTTTTTTTTAAGTTTAGTCTGTAATGTAGCAGATACAACATTATGATGAATTGGAAATTTTAGCAAATTATCTATGGCCTTGTTTCGTTATTGGGATATTAGCAAAGTATCTATGGCCTTGTTCCGTTATTGGGATTTTAGCAAAGTATTTATGGCCTTGTTCCGTTATTAGGATTTTAGCAAAGTATCTATGGCCTTGTTCCGTTATTGGGCTTTTAGCAAAGTATCTATGGCCTTGTTCCGTTATTGGGCTTTTAGCAAAGTATCTATGGCCTTGTTCCGTTATTGGGCTTTTAGCAAAGTATCTATGGCCTTGTTCTGTCATTTGGGTTCCATCATGGGGGCAGCCTAGGCCAAGTGGTTAGGGCGTCTGACATTCTGCTAACACTAGCCTCCCACCACTAGGTCACAGGTTCGAGACCTAGGTGGGGCAGTCGCTAGGTACTGGCTGTAGGTCGGTGGTTTGTCTTCTCTGCACCACCAAAACCTGGCATGTCCTTATAGTTAAATGACCATAGCTGTTAATAGGATGTAAAACACAAACAAACCAAAAAAATAAATGTTGCGACGTGTAGATTTTAACAATTTATCTGTGGCCTTGTTCCATCACTAACTATTCAAAGAAGACACACTGAACAAACCAAATCTATTCGAAGTGTTCAAGGTCTGAAGCATTAGAAAGCTGGTAGATATGCTCCCTACATCATGTATCTCAACTTCCAAGATCACAGCCAAAGACAGAAAATCAAAAGATATCTGATTTCTAAGAAACCTTTTATGGCATGCCTGCTCTTAATTCTCTATACAAATATATGTTTGTTTGAAGTAAATCCTGACCATAGGCTACATCTTAAATATGTCCTTCAAGCAGGGAATATGAATTAAACAAATTTGCTTGTTCATGACATATTGAAATTGAGTTCTAAATTTGCTCTTGTTTGTCAGTGCTTTTGGATAAAGAGGTCCATTTCACAGTATACATAGTGTGCATCCTTCTGTCTGGGAAGAAAAGGAGTTTGAAGAATTTGGGTGAATATTAAAGGCAGTATATTGTTGTAAGCAAGTCATTCTATAAAACCATAATGGCAATGATGCAATAAACTCAAAGGAAAATATGCAGTAACGCCCAAAAACTTGACCTACTTTTTGTCTTACAGTTTCGTCTGTGTTAAATGATAACTAAAGTTTGTTCATTTAGTAGGATTGAAGCACACATACCGGTATGCATCAACTGTAGGATTGAAGCACACATACCAGTATGCATCAACTGTAGGATTGAAGCACACATTCCGGTATGCATCAACTCTAGGATTGAAGCACACATACCAGTATGCATCAACTGCTGGTGATTGTGTACATTTAAGCAGAGAGATTAGTTTGGGTATGAAACTACAGGATTGATGTACTGATATTAACACAATGTTCATTCATATGTATTAACCTAATGCATTGATTTTATGCCAAAGTCTTTGGAAACGGTTAATGGTAACACTTTGACATTTGCAAACACATCAGTTTCTTTTACGGAATTCCCCATTATGGAGAAAGGTCATGTCCGTAATTGTTTTGTAACTCTGCAGTCTAGATCTGTGTACAAGAGTAAAATAGGACTAGATTATTTCTGATATATATTTAATTGTTTTCGAACAAATATTGAACTCATTTACCCCTGAAGATGCATTTGAACTCTTCCTATTCGAAGGTTGGAATAGTTCATTATGAAATTGTAGGGGTGAATGAGTTAATTTCAATTTTGCTGCTGCTGCTCAGTAATTATATATTTTCTCAAGAATCATAATGGTCAGTGATGTTCATCCAGCT